TCACCCCTAAACTGCCCTCATGGTCAACTTTTTGAAACATAAATCTTCCCATCGTAAGCACTCAAAGGGCATTTGCTAAATTAGTCATCCTCTGCTTTCAATTCCCGCTGCCAGGGTCCAGTCCCACGCTGGCCCTCCCAGCGTCCCGCAGTGCACAGCTGTCAGGGTCCCTGGGCCCTGTGGTGCCCACTGCTGCCCATGTTCTCTTTCCCGGCAGCAGACTGCTTCCCGGGGGGCACCCTGGCCCACGTGCACAGGCCTCCCCCTGGCACTGAGGAGTGCTCCCAGGCCTGACTGAGTGTCTTCTCCCCACCTGGGCTACATTCGATCCCGCTTACATCTTCCAGGCCACGATGGGCCTCACAGGTGGAAAAGCATCTGGGAACAGTTTGTGCCATGTACACATATGGATGTGTGTACCAACCCCTGAAGCAAGGCATATGCCTGGTTCCACTGTATTTATGCTCAATGCTGGTCACAACCCACTAACTTGATTTTATAAACAACAAATGGTTGGTCACCTGCAGCTTGAAAAGCTTGGCACTGGCTTGCTTATTCCTCACACAGCCTGATCGTGTCCAGTCTGTTGTCCTCGGCCATTTGTATCGATGAGACAGAAATACGAAGTAATTCATTCGGGTAACGCAGCTAGCAAGCAGCAGAGCTGGGGTTCGCACCTGGCGAGTGGCCACAGAGCCCGCGCCCCATACCCGCCAATGTGGCTTTGATGATGGGTCAGCGCTGGGGGGTCAGGAGGCCATGCTGAGCCACTGCAGGGCCAGCTCCCAGCTCCCTCCACGCCCTCGGGAAGTGGCCAGCAGGAAGGAGGGGCCTGGCTGCAGCGGGTGGGGGCTCGGACCCAGATGGGGCAGTTCGCTTGTGCTGAAGTGCGGGGTCCCTCCTCCCCTGAGTCCCTCTCAGGGAGTGAGGCTGGACCAGGCCCAGTGGGGTGCCTGGGAGGCCAGTGGAGGCGCAGGCAGGACTGAGCACTGCAGGACAGCGATGCCCCGGTCCTGCCAGTGACCGTGCTGACAATGGCCAGTGCGGCACATACATAAGCTATGACCCTCTCAGACCTGTTGCCCCCGTGTCCCAGCAGCCAGCCTGCGCCTGGCACGTGTGGAACAAACAGAAGGCGCTCTTTGTGCGTGTTCTCCGGGAGGCAGGCGACTGGAGCTCTGACTCTTGTTGAGGTAAAACGATGTTGAAACACATCTGAGGAGCCCGGGCCTGCGTGGCTGTGTGGCCAGGGGAGCCCTGAGAAGGGGTCTCAGGGAGAAATTCTGGACCAGCAAGGTGGGGACTTGACCCCCTCACTCCTGGTGATGAGGGAGGTTCTGGAGAAAACGCCTACATTGATGAGAAGCGCTGTCCCTTGGGGCATGGGCAGGTGGCCCAGGACCCCCTGACCGGCCCCAACTCTGGCGGTACTGGCCACCTGAGTCCGGCCCTACAGACACCCAGCTCGAGGCTGGGGGGGGGGCGGGTAACCCCTGAAGAGTCCTGGAGCTCCGACGGTGAGGTGGCAGGGACGCAGAGACTTCCTACCTGGGACTGAGCGCAGGGTGGTCCCCTCTCACAGGTGTGGGCCCAGCCGCGGGGCGGCGGCTGTGGGAGGGCAGTGGCCTCAACACTTCAGGGCTAAACAGATTAACCAAAGCATTGTTTCCCCAGGTAATGAAGATGCCATTAATTAAACTTCACTTAAAGCTGGTTTCAAACTAATACTTGATGACACATGTCTGCCTTCCTCCGAGGAATGTCTGTCTCCCACGGGCTGTGAGGTCCCAGCGGTGCCTGGCATCTGCAGGGGCTCTGCGCCTGCCCAGGCTGGCATAGGGCTGGCCGTCCTGGGTGTGTAGATGAACAAGAGACAGGTGGGCTGCTCCATGTTCTCACCTGAACCTCGTGGATGCTATCTGGTGGGAAGCTGCATGATCGGGGACATCCTTTCTACTGACCCAGGTATTTCCAGCCCCAGCCTCCCTCGTGGAGAGTTTGGTCTGCATGGTTGATGGGCAAGACTCACCCTGAGGAGCCCTTCTCAGCCTCCCTGGTGAGGGGTGGGATCCACTGAGCACCCCGGGGCCCAGGAAAAGCCCAGGCTGTACCCCGCATGGAGCGCCACCCGGCGACACCCTGTATTCATGGTGGGAGTGAAGGCTGGCCCAGCTTCAGACCCCAGTAGGAAGGATGGAGAGAGGCACCTGGCACAGGGCCAGTCCTGGCTGTTTCTCAAAAGGTAGAGGACTAGAGGACGAGGACTTTTTTCTGAACAGGGGGTGGGGACTGGCTGAGCTGTGCGTGGCCAGAAGCTGGAGGAGAAGATGGAGGTTACATGCTGTGGCAGGTGCTGGGCCAGAGGACGGGTGTGGGTGGGGCAGTGAGTGCAGAGTCCTGGGACCGGAGGGGCTGTGTGCCGGGCCCTGGGCAGCCAATAGCTGTCCATGGAGAACTGAGGGGAATCATATAGGATCCCCATGTTTGGGGTTTTTTTAAGGCTAGAGTCCCAGATGTAGAAAGACTGGTCCAAAGGGCAGGGCCATTTCATAGCTCTTAATGCATAGAGCCTGTGGCTTTGCAAAAGCATGACACCAGATTCCATTCCCGCCAACCATGAATGCTTCTCTCCCCCTCACCCCACAGCAGCACCAGGATCATTACCTTAAACATATACACCACACTCAACCAGCCACCCCACCCTACAACTCAACCAGCCACCCCGCACCACACTCAACCAGCCACCCTACCCTACAACTCAACCAGCCACCCCGCACCACACTCAACTAGCCACCCCGCACCACACTCAACCAGCCACCCCACCCTACAACTCAACCAGCCACCCCTCACCACACTCAACCAGCCACCCGGGGCAGCGCCACCTTGTCTAATGATTAGAAGTCAGTGTGACACCCCACCCACCAGCCTCGGGGTGCTCTGGTCTAGACCCCACCCCCGCTGTCCTTGGGCAGGTCCTGGCACAGCCGCTCCACTCACTGGCCCTTTGCACATGCTCTCCCCTCTGCCAGCGTCACCTGCAGGTCTCGTTCCCTCACCCCCTCTCATCTCATCTCTCTGGTATAAAGTTTCCCAGACCAGCTCGCTTACAATGGCCCCCGCACCTCTCATTCCCCTTGGCTGTTACTATTTGCCAGTGTGTGTGTCCCCGTAGCAGAGTTCATAGGGTGTTTACTGCCTGTCCCCTCCCTGGAATGGATGTCCTCAGAGGGCACACGGAAAGGGGAAGGGTCAGGGTGCAGAGTTGAGGGAAGAAGCCAGCACTGGCTGCTGGGCTGGAGTGTACAGAGGGGCCAAGTGCACTGCAGAGAGGATGGGGAGGAATGGGGTGCCTCCTGGTCTGACCCCTGCTGCTCCCGGGAGGGCTGGGAGGGAGGATCTTCCCCCCTCATCCCGCCCCCCCCCCCGCCCCCACCTAGCCTAGCAGCATGCTAATGCAGAAAGACCTCTGGGCCATTCTTTCTCTCAGTGAATGACATGCAGCAAAAGCTAAATACAAGGTCCCTTTGATGGGGGGTCCTGAGGAGTCCTGGGGAGGGGGTCCTGGAGGTGGCAGGCGCTGGTACTCCAAGGCCCTTGAGGGGCTGTTGAATTAACCAGAGGGATGGGGGTGAAGAGTGGAGAAAGTGAAGATGCAGGAAAGCCCAGAGGTAGAGGTGGGGTGAGGAAGTGGGGAAACCAGGTGGGGAGGAAGTGGCAGGCTGAGCGGATGATGTGCAACTCAGAATGGAAACAGGAAGGGGGAGGACTGGCAACATCTACCCTCTGTGGGACTGGGAATGGGCCAGGACATGACCCAAGTGACCTGAGCTGTGACCTCAGCCCAGGGAGACTGACCTATGACCCCATGGCCACTGGTCTTCCAGGCTTTGCTCAGCTTGTCCAGGATCTCAATCAAGCCGCTCCCCGGGACTGTCCCCAGGCACCCTGCCTCGGGGTCTGCGCCCTTCTTTCCTAGGGCTTGTGCTCCCCTCCATCCCCCAGCTCTTCCCACACTGAAGGCCACGTCCGCAGGGAGCCCACCACACCCCTCCATGGGTGCTGGTCAGTGCGTGGCCCAGCGGGACTGAGCGCTGCCAGGGGTGAAGCCTGGGTGGGCTCTGATTGGATGAAAACCTGAAACCAAGGCTCCTGGGTAAAGACTCCCCCCCTGCTCCCACAGCAGCTGGCCCGCAGCAGCTGGCCCGGCTTTCTGAACCAACCGTCTCAGCTTCATGCACGTGTCCTCGGCAGTCACACTGGTGTGAGGAGGCGCAGAGGGTCCCCGAATGGCTTGCTCAGGAGGCCTGGGAATCCCTCCAGGCCCCCCATGTGCTGAGTTACCCACGGATCAGGTTCCGTGATGCCAGGCCAGCAGGTGCTGCCACTGAGTGCTGAGTGATGGGAGAGATGCCAAGCGATTAGGCCCCACGCACGGCCCTCCCTGTAACCAGTCCTGCAGCACCAGGAGCCGGGTGTGCAGATCTGGGTGGGGAGGAGAATGCTGCCAAGCTAAGAGTAGGTATGGCCTTGCTCCCGGATCCAGGAGGGCAGCTGAGGGCTCGGAGGTGAGCTGCAGGGCGGGGTCTGAAGGTGCCCCGAGGACGGGAGGGCCATAGCTGGTAACAAGTCTGTCCTGGGAAGAGGGGCTTATCCTGTGAGGACAGCTCCACAGTTGGCGATGCCCAGAGGAGGCATGGCGGCTGGGAGAGGGCAGAGCGCCCGGAATCCTGGGGAAGGAGGAGGGCCTCATGGCAGGCAGCCAGTCCTGCACGGAGCACCTTGCCGCGTGGCTCCACGTCTCCCCAGGCACCTGGAGAGCCAGCCTCCACAGGCCTGTGAATGCTTCCCCGAAGCCCGGGCCTTGTGGTTCTGGGAACTGAACATCTTTCCCTAAAAAGAAGATGGTGCATATACTGCATCTTCTATAATTTCCCAGCAGGGTCTGGGGGAGAGCCCCATAGTCAACTGCTTCAGTGTTTTCTGCAGGGAAATATGCAAATATTCACACGTTGTGGAATTAATGGAGACAAAAATAGACTCATGGCAGTTCAGGCAGGTTTTGTCACCAAATGAATTAGGTCAAGACAGGTTTTACAGCCACATTAGTTACAAAAATCTTTTGGCGTTCATTGCTTTTGAGATTTTGAAGTTGCTGATTAGGGATTGTGAATCTGTACTTGTCCCCAAACAGGTTCTGAGAAGGTATGTGAGCAAAGATCACAGAGCCAGGAGGTGGCAGAGCCGGGGCTCAGGGCCGGGCTTTCTGGTTCCAGCCACGGCTCAGCCTGTGCAGCGCCGAAAGGCACCCATGCTGCAGGACAGCCGTCTGTAGGAACAGCCAGGGAATGGTGCTGAGAGATGGGCCCTCAAATCAAAGGGCCAGAAACGAGACGTTCCAGTCACCGCGGGAGAACCCCAGCCAGGGCTCCCGGTGGCTCAGAGAACGGGTCCCTAGCTCCCACAGGGCGGAGCTCTGGGTAAGGGGTTTTCAGACACAACATCCCACTCGATCTTACCCTTGTGGTTTCTAAGGAAACGACCTGGGCCCACCTCTCAACACAGACCGCCTTTGCCTGCAGCCTTGCTCTGTCTTGACTGTGTCCAACACTCCATCCAAACTTGTTCCTGTATCCTGCTCTTACCCCAAATCCTCAGTTGGTTCAGCACCCTCCTGGCAGGAGGCCACCGCTGCCCAGGTGCAGCCCTCCTCCCCCCGCCCCCCGCTGCAGCAGACTCAAGCCCAACTCTAACGGCGTGGCCCTCGTGCTCTTTGTCAAATGGGGTTTGCTATCGCTGATTAATAGGACACCTCACGTCCAAGTCTCAAAGCCCTTTCACCGGTTTCCCTAGCCCCCAGGAAGGCTGGCCCGGAGGGTGGTTGCTGGCCTTGTGTGCCTGACGGAGAAGAGGCTTGTGGTGGCAGTCGTAGTGCAAGGCCTCGCAGCTGGTGAGTGCTAGAGCCCAGATGCAAAGCCAGGCCTTCTCCTCGCTTCTGTGGCCTCCGGAAGGCCGCACAGGTGACGGTTTCAGCCTGTCACGTCCTGAGAGGCCTGGGCCTGCACCCCATCAGCTGTGGTCCTCAGGCGGCAGGCTGTAGCCGGGCTTCATGGAAGCATCTCGATTTCTACTGAAAAACAAGAAAGCCTGACGAGCCGGGGCCCTCTTGTCCACCTGACGACAGCTCGCTGGGCTGCGGAGCAGCTCAGATGGAACACACGGTCAGCAGCTTCTCACAGGCCCATCGAGCGCCCACACTCACTCCTGTCTCCTGTGTCCTTGTCCCTGAAGGCATCTGAGCTGTAACCTCTGCTCTACTGTGTCTGACGAGGGGGCAGTGACCTCGGCTCGTGGCCAGGCACAGGCTCGCTGCTTTCAGAGGGAAGGGAGAGCATCTCCATGTGCTGAGAGCCTGCCAGGTACTGCAGGTGCCAGAATTAGCGAGCCCGTGAGGAAGGCGTTTTTCGCGCCATCGTACAGGTATGGAAATTGAGCGTGGTGAGGCTTGGTGACTTACTTGTGCCAACCTGCAGAAAGGGGCAGCGCCTTGCCTGGATCGGGTCTGTCTTCTGCGGGAGCCTGCTCTGTCCACCTCTGTGCCCAGACCTCATTCCAAGGCTCCTGCGGGCAACAGCATCGCCATCGAATCACCTGCCTCCAGGCATTGCTGCAGGGATGCGGCAGGGAGTGTGACGTGGGCACAGCCCAGGGTTTCATGGGAGGAGCCAGGGCAGACCTGTGGACTATGGGGTGGGTCCGGCTTTTCCCTCTGACTTACACATTGAAGAACTATGGGAAGAGAGCTCCATGGCATGTAAAGTCTCACCTCTAGCGCCAGGGCAGGGTGAGGGCTCAGGCTGCAGGGCCTGCTCCCCGGGTTGACCACAGGGTTCCTTTCCAAGAGGAGACCCGAGACAGACAGGAAAATTCCACCTCCACGTGATCAGTGTGAGAAGCACTGAGGCAGGGGCGGAGGGCGGGCCTGAGACAGGGCAGCCAGTGGCCAGGCCAGGACAGTGGGGGCAAGGTGGCCAGCCTGGGAGCTGTTCTTACAGACACAGGACTCTGACCTCATCCCTGAACCGAGCTGGACAGAGGTTTAAAGCAGCAGGTCCCCCGTCTGACAGAACCAGCTGTGCCTCATTGCTTTCAGAAGCGCAGTGCAGGGGCTAGGCAGGAGCTGTTTGGTGAACTAAGGAAACAAGCAATGCCTACAGCAGAGCCCGCTCCCTTTGGAGCAGTGGTCGGCAAACTGTGGCTCCGCAAACCGCGGCTCGCGAGCCACGTGCAGCTCTTTGGCCCCTTGAGTGTGGCTCTTCCACAAAATACCGACTTCTGCGCATGAGCCACGAAGTTTCAATCGCACTGTACGTGCGCGCCCCCATGTGGTATTTTGTGGAAGAGACACACACTCAAGGGGCCAAAGAGCCGCATGTGGCTCCCGAGCCGCGGTTTGCCGACCAGGGCTTTGGAGGAAACTGGCCAGGGCTTGGCTGCGGGTTCCTGCGTGGGCCGCGGCGTCACCGAAAGGGCTCGCTAGAGTGCACCGTAGGGGCTGCAGCACCCGCAGCCTCGACTCCGAGGGTTTGGATTTGTACTTCTACCAAGCTCCCAGCGGGGCTTCCTTGGCCCTTGCCTGGAGTTATCCCCTACCCTCCCCCAACGGGCGGCTGCCGCTGTCCGGGATGAGTCCATCGTGGTCTCTGCTGCCACGGTCTGGCCACGCTGCAGAATGACATGCTGTCCCTCCAACGTGGCAGTTCCATCTGCCTCTTACTTCTCATTTTATTTCACTAAAAGCACCTTCGCTGGGATAAATCGTTTTCCTTGTAAGTTTCTCAGTGAAGATTTGGCTTATGCATTGGGCTTTTATTTTTTTTTAAAATATATATTTTATTAATTTTTTACATAGAGGAAGGGAGTGAGATAGAGAGTTAGAAACATGGATCAGCTGCCTCCTGCACACCCTCTACTGGGGATGTGCCCGCAACCAAGGTACATGCCCTTGACCGGAATCAAACCTGGGACCTTTCAGTCCGCAGGCCGACGCTCTATCCACTGAGCCAAACCGGTCAGGCAATATAACGTGCGTTTTCTTTAGGTGTCACTGTTGCTATTTACGCATCCATTTCTTTAGTTCATTAAAATGTTTACCTGTACTATTTTAACTATTTATTTCATATTGACTATTTTTCACAAATTTCTCCCCCCACCCAGGCAATTTGGTCAAAGTGTCAGTGGAGTTAAAATGGCAGAGTCAAATGTCTTGCTTTGACTGGGGCACTCCAGGATTAGGAACATTCAGACACCCACAAGGAGCTGGGCAAGGCTGGGGTGCGATGGCTGGGTGGTGAGGGAGGGTGGAAGGGAGCCTGCGCATCCGTCGTCTCGCGGCTCTCAGCCTGCACTGAGCTCATCCCCTCAGAAGCAGCGTCCCAAGCAGAGGGGACATCATGAAGCAAGGGTAGCTGCGGGATCAGCTGCCTCTAGTATGGATTTGAATTTGCTTCTTATTTTATTTTATCCTGTTGGGTTCCCCGCGTCTTCTCTGCCTGGCTTGAAATGGCCTCAGTACCTTCATCCCTCCATGGACTCGTCCACCCCTCCGTCGTCCTGCGTGTTTACCTGTTCCTCTGAGTGATGGGGACACAGAGGAAAGCAGCCAGGGCTCCTGCTCTCCAGGTTCCAGATCCAACAGCCTTCCCTCGTATGTCGTGGTGATGAAATCACTCACCTTCCCCTCTTGTCCACGATCACACTCGCCTCTCGAGGCTCACCTTTCAGTGACATCCTCCTCTGTGATCTCCCCACCGACGCGGCAGCATCAGTAGCTCCCTTTGCTGCTGCTTGGGAACGAAGTCAGTTGAATGAATGAATGGACTAGACCAGTGATGGCGAACCTTTTGAGCTCGGCGTGTCAGCATTTTGAAAAACCCTAACTTAACTCTGGTGCCGTGTCACATAGAGAAATTTTTTGATATTTGCAACCATAGTAAAACAAAGATTTATATTTTTGATATTTATTTTATATATTTAAATGCCATTTAACAAAGAAAAATCAACCAAAAAAAATGAGTTCGCGTGTCAGAGGTTCGCCATCACTGGACTAGACCGCGGTGGTCACTTCCTGGTTATTTCACTGGGCTGATCCATTGACTTCCTATTGGGTCATGAGAGTCAAAAAGAAAAAAAAAAGAAAGGAGCAAAAAGGGATCTTGGTAGCAATTGAATCTCCTTTTGCAGCCTAGAGCAGAGACCAGCTGCCAGCCTGCCAGATCCTAGGGTGCCCCCTGCCCACCGCACCCACCCTGACCGGCTCCTGGAGGGTTTGGGAACTACATGACCCCAGAAGAGCAAGGCCACTGGTTGTGGAGCAGGAAGACCTGGTGACGTCCACCCTGTCCCTGTCTTTCCCTCCAGTGCCCAGCCTGCCCCCACCCTCTGCCATCTGCCTCTCCTACCACCCTGTGCTCTCCTGCAAATGGGTAGGTTACAGTCCGCCACTCAGGCGTACAAGAAATACGAATGTTCTTTATTCTAATTCCAGCCCCCACTCTGCAGCAGTGAGGGAATCCTAACCTCGGCCAACACACACCCCACTCCCTGTCCTTATGGCTGAGGCTAAAATTTGGTGAAGACAGAGATTCTGGTCCTGGGTGTCATTTATGAATGCAGGTCAGAAGGCTGGGGGGAAAAGCATCCTGCATCCTTCATCCCTGTTGGGTGGGTCCGGCTGCCTTCCTGTCTCTTTCTGTGATGATCTTGACTTTCAGGAATCAGTCGCTCCAGCCCTGCCCAACTTCTTGTGGGTGTCTGAACAGCTGGCTCCCTTTCCCCAGGGCTGTTCCTCCTCCTGGGACGTCATTGCCCTCCTTTTTGGTCTGGTTAACTCTGGTTTACCCTTAGGATCAGAGGGTAGTCTCTACTCTATGGGTTTCTTCTCCCTACTGCTGCTGGGCTAAGAGGCTGGTTCCCTACCTCTGTCCTTCATCTCTACCCCAACCCACAGGGTTGAGAGGCTGCCCAAGATCCCCTCTGCTTAGACATCTAAATTAGCCACTCATTGTAGGGCTGCCCCTGCTGCTTCTCCTGTTGTGCCCAGATTTCAAGGTTCCCAGGACCCCCAGGGAGCCCGTCAGTCCTATGCAAAAGCAAAGAGTCCTTCATTTCGAACCTAGGTTCGGCTCCCCGACCACACTCACCGATGCAAGGGTAGCCCAGTGGCCGAGAGAGAGAGAGAGAGAGAGAGAGAGAGAGAGAGAGAGAGAGAGGCCTGATGGGACAGGGGGTTTTAAAGGGGGGTGGAGTGAGGGCAGGAGAGGGGACTGTGTGCCCCGCCGATTGGCCAGGCGTGAGTAGTGATGGTGTGCACTTCCCTTGATTATTATTGGTTCCTGGGCGTGGCCAGCAGGGGCCTGGGCTTCCGGGAAGAAGGCACTCTCCTGAGCACATGGTGGCCGCCCCAAAACTGGAGGACCCAGGGCAAGAGGGAGGGCGCAGTCCTAGCCCCCCCCCCCCCCCCCCCCCAGGGCGAGCTGAGCCCGGGCTCCAGGGGCCAGTCCGGTTGCTGGGGGTCCAGCAGATCGACCAGTTCCAGCCCAGACAGGAAGTCCATGTCCTCCATCTCGTTCCCGGGGGTGCCGGCGATCGCCTCCTCCTCCATCTCCTCGGGCGAGGGCACACGCCCCGCCCCGCCGCCGCCGCTGCTGTCCGGGGGCGGCAGGCGGGTGGCAGCCTGCGCCGGGCTCCCGCCGTGGGCTGGGGAGTCGGTGCCCGAGGCCGCCAGCAGCGTGGTCAGGCCCCGCGACGACTCACCCTTTCACTCAAGGTCTGTACTAGGAGGTATGCGTAGCTTGTCTCTGCTCACAGACCCCACAGACTTCTCTGGATTCTGACGCCTGAGAGCAACATGTGGGATCACTATCTTTAAGACCCACCCAAATCTATTCTTATTGTTCCCCTGATAGCCTAAGGAAGGGTGGAATCCCACTCTTTCTTATTCATGTTTTTATCCTAAATTCATTGCCTAAGTCATCTAAGGGCCTTCTTAGCTTTTGAAATTTAAAGTCAGGGAAAGGCCCCTTTTTATTATAATCTGCTTGTGGTCATCCCTCCTTCTGCGGGGCTAAGAGCGCATAATGGTAAAGCTCTGGGCAAAGTGAGGCAGAAATAGTCAGGGGAAAATGTTACCCTCCTACCGCCCCATGGCACTTTGACTCCCTAGACCCCAAGCTCTCACCTACACTACCTGCTGGCTGCTCAAACCCATGGCTGTTGCCATGAGCTTGCGCCAACTGGTGCTATTCCACTCCTGGAAGTATACTGTGTCTCTCACTCTCTGACCAGGAACTCCAATTTCTTAAGCTATCCTACTTCCTTCTTATTTCATTTGCTTTTCACTCGCTTAGACCTGTACAGCCCCTTTTCTTCTAGTGTGTCTATTGCTCCCTTAGTTAGAAGGCCTTCCATGGTGGCTGAGGTGGATCAGTTAGACTTGCACTAGAGTTTACACCCCACGATTAAGTTGAAGTGGGGCAATATATCTAAGGTGACCAAGATAGGAAATACTGGGCAGAGCAGGTGAACCACTAACTCTGGCTCATGCTCTTATTAATAAGCTAAAATTGCTCTGACAGGAAAATCATCAATTGTATGGCTTAAAGAGTAGAGAATTTTCTCTCTTACACGAAGGCCCCAAATAAATATTACAAGTCAACAGGAGGTTCTGCTCTATGTGTTCGTTCAGAGATCTAGTTTCTTTTCATCCTTTTCCTCCATCATCTTACAAGTAAATGGTTCTCAAACTTGACTTTAGTTAAAATCACTAGAGGAGATTTAAAAAATCCAGGTGTTGATAGTAGGGGATTTTTAATACCCCATTTATATCGATGGATGGATCATCCTGACTGAAAATCAACAAGGAAACAATAGCCTTAAAAGACAAGTAAATCCAGGCAAATTTAATTGATATTTTTAGAATATTTCACCCCAATGTGTAAATATGTCTCTCTTCTCCGCATCCAGCGCAGATAGAGAGCGTCTGGTTCCTGGGTAGGGGCGGCTGGGGATTGAGAAAATGAAAGAAAGAGACAGACACAGAGATGGAAAGAAAAAGCTGGGGCCGTGTGGGAACATTGTCCTCTGACCCAGACAGGGACAGAAATAGTGACCCAGAGCCAATACAGCCTGTTTCTTTTATACAGCAAAAAGCAGGAAGTTTTACTAAAAGTGAAGACAAAGGAGAGTATGTGCATTTTTGGGTGGGCCTGAGTCATATTCATTCCTGGTGCTTGGCTGGATTTAAATAACGAAACCCGCCCCCTGGCACCTGGGCTGATGGTCAGGCTGACAACACTCCTGCCTCTGGCAAGGTATGTTTCCAGGATGTGGCTCTGCCAATGCCACAGGATTCAGCTGACAATAATTAAAGAAATGCCCATGTGCCCTCCCAGGTGCTCTCTACACCAATGTAGTAGAATATACTTTAGTAAAATATATACTAATATACTGTAGTAGAATATATTCTTCCCAAGTGTACATGGAAAATTTTTCAGGTTAGACCACATCTTAAGCGACAAAACAAATCTCAATAAATTTATAAAGATTGAAATCATACCAAGCATCTCCTCTGATCATAATGGTATGAAACTAGAAATCAGTTAAAAGAAGAAAACTGAAAAACATGAACACATAGAGGCTAAGTAACATAATACTACACAATGAATGGGCTAACAATGAGGCCAAGCAAGAAATCAAAAGATACCTTAAAACAAATGAACATGAAAACACAATGACCCCAAATTTATGGAAAGCAGTGAAAATAGTCCTAAGAGGAAACTTCATAGCAATACAGGCCTACTCCAAGAAAGAAGAAAAATCTAAAAACAAAACAAAAATCCAAACTTACACCTAGAGGAACTAGAATAATAACTAAAAAGAGACTGAAGTGAGTAGAAAAAAGGACATAATAAATATTAGAAAAGAAATAAATGAAAAAGAGTCTATTAAAATATACAAAAGATGAATGAAACCAGGAGCTGGTTCTTTGAAAAGATAAGATTGATAAACCTTTTACCAGACTTATCAAGAAAAAGGAAAGAGAGGACCCAAATAAAAAAAAAATCAAAAATAAAAGAGAAGAAGTAACAACCGACATCACAGAAATACAAAGTATTATAAGAAAATATTACAAACATTATATGCCAAAAAATTGGACAACCTGGGAGAAATGGATAAATGACTTAAAAATGAAATCTTCCCAAATTCAATCAAGAAGAAACAGAAATCTGATTACAACTAATGAAATTGTAGCAGTAATCCCCAAACTCCCAGCAAGCAAAAGTCCTTTACTGGATGACTTTACAGCTGAATTTTACCAAACATTAAAAGAAGAACTAAAACCTACACTTAAACTATTACAAAAAAATTCAAGAGGAGGGAAGACTCCCAAGCTCATTTTCTGAGAATAGCATTATCCTAATTTAAAAAACAAATAAAGACACTACAAAGAAAGAAAAGTGTAGGCCAATATCACTGATGAACAAAGATGCTAAAATCCTCAACAAAATATTAGCAAACTGAATCCAGTCTTATATTTAAAAGATCATACACCATGATCAAATGAGTATTATTCTGGGAATGCAAGGTTGGTACAATATCCACAGGTCAATTAACATGATATACCACATAAACAAAATGAAAGATAAAAATTATGCAATCATATTAACAGCTACAGACACATTTGACAAAATACAGCATCCATTTATGATAAAAACTCAGCAAAGTGGAAATAGCAAAAACATACTTCAACAAAATAAAGGCCATATATGCAAACTCATAGCCAACATCATATACTCAACAAGCAAAAACTAAAAGTATTTTCCTTAAGATCAGGAACAAGACAGAGATTTCTGCTTTCACCTCTTATTCAACATAGTACTCAAAGTCCTAGCCATAAAAACAAGACACAAAGAAAAAATAAAAGGCATCTAAATTGGAAAGGAAGAAATAAATTGTAATTATTTGCAGATGACATGACACTGTATATAGAGAAACCTAAATATTCCACCAAAAAACTACTAGAACTGATAAATGAAAGCAGGAAAGTAGCAAGAGACAAAATTAATATTCAGAAATCAGTTGCATTTTTATACACCAACTAGAGGCCCAGTGTACAAGATTCATGCACTCAGGGGGGTTCCCCAGCCCAGTCTGCACCCTCTCGCAGTCCAGGAGCCCTTGGGGGATGTCCGACTGACAGCGGGAGCAGGCCTAAGCTGGCAGTCGGATATCCTTAGCATTGTCCTGGAAGCGGGAGAGGCTCCTGCCACCGCCGCTGCGCTCGCCAGCGTGCGGCTTCTGGCTGAGCAGCCATCCCCATGTGGGAGCATACTGACCAACAGGGGACAGCTCCTGTGTTGAGCATCTGCCCCCTGGTGGTCAGTGCGTGTCACAGTGACCAGTCGTTCCACCATTCAGTCGATTTGCATATTAGCCTTTTATTATATAGGAGAATGAACTATCAGAAAGGAAAACTAAGAAAACATTCCTATTTACAGTTGCATAAAAAAAAAAATAAACTGCCAATGAATAAATTTAACAAAGGAGGTAAAAGACCTGTACTCAAAAAATTATAAGACACTGAAGAAAGAAATTGAAGAAGCTACAAATAAATGGAAGTATATACCATGCCCATGGATAGAAAGAATTAACATCATTAAAATTTCTATACTGCCTAAAGCAATCCATAGATTCAACCCAACTTCTATCAAGATACCAATGGTGTATTTCAAAGAACTAGAAGAAACATTCAAAAAATTTATATGAAACCGCAAAAGACCCTGAATAGCAACAGCAGTTTTCAGAGAAAAGAAAAAAGTTGGAGGTATTACACTACCTGATATTAACCAATACTACAAGGCCATAGTCATCAAAAAAGCATGTACTGTCATAAAACCAGACATAGAGATCAGCAGAGCAGAATAGAGAGCCCAGAAATAAAACCACACCTAGATGGTCAGTTGATAAATGACAAAGGAGGTAATAGCATATTATGAGGTAAAGACAGTCTATTTAATAAATGGTGTTTGAAAAAATTGAACAGATACAGGAAAGAAGACCACCCTCTTAAACCATATAAACTCAAAATGGGTTAAAGACTTCAATGCAAGACTCAAAATCATAAAACTCCTGGAAGAAAACACAGACAGTAAAATCTATAAAATTTTTCTTAGAA